GATAGTTGTAAATATACATATTTTGGATTTTATAAAATTTGGTGATCTAATATAGTGTGTTTAATATGTGTTTATCGATGTTAAGAGATTTAACATAATCTGCTCACACTATTTCTTATGTAAAAAAAATTAAGTTTGTTCGAATTAGGGTGGCTTTTATTTCCTTATCCTATATATATATCTATATAGATATATATATCTATATCTATATATCTATATATATATATATATATATATATATATAATGTGCATGTTTTGTTGAATATGACAGACAAGGATAATTTAAGTAATTTTTTTATTTAGTTTTTTCAGTATTCTTATTTTTTTTTTTTTTTTTTTGTTTGGTGGGAGTAAGGGAGTGCAAAAATTATCTGTATTGTCCATTATCTCATGCACATTTGGTTACTTCTTAAGTCATTTTCAAGGGGTTTTGTTTTAGGTGTTGTTAATTTCTCTTTCCCGCTTGACTGTTTGAGATGTTAAAAATGGCTAAAGAAATGTCCGAAAGCACTTGAGACAAAAACAGACCATTTTCGCAATCCCTTACTCTCACCAAATGGAAAAATGTAAGAAATTCTGGAAAAACTAAATAAAAAAAAATTAAACATTCCTGTCTGTCATATTCAACAAAACATGTTTAAAAGAAAGGTTGCTACCCAGATATATATATATATATATATATATATATATATATATATATATATAAAAGTGCTCAATATCAGAGATAGTGTGTGTAAATATAAAAGTGAACATTGAAGTTAACATTTAGAGGCAACAGGCTGTTTCATGCTAGATGCAATCGTCAGGCCATGAGTGTTGTTTTTTTTCTTGGCTATTTATATATACAGGTCAGTGATGCATTGTGGGTAGTCTATTTTGGTAGTTATTTTGCTGGAAGTTGTTTATTTGTTTGGGCTAGATTATTTTGCTTGTTTTTATTTATTTTCATTTTTTATTTATTATTTTATTTTTTATTTTTATTTCTTATCTTATATATTTATTTATTTATTTTTATTTTAATTGGTGTTTTATTAACGTTGTAAAAATTTGTTTGTATCGCTTATTTAATAGTTTGCTTTGGTTTGGGAAGATAATTAAAGCTATTTATTCAATTTTGAGGTTGATTGCTGTAGTTTATTGTAACTATTATTTTGGCAGGAGCAGTTTTTAATTTATTACTTCATTTATTTATTTGGATTGATTGTCTTGTTTTTTCTAATAGTCAATTTATCAGGATCGGTTTGTTTGTTTATTTATTTGGATTAATTTAGATTTATTTATGTTACTTGTTTTTTATTATTTATTCATTATACTGTATATTTTTATTTAATCTTTTTGGTTTTCAATTTTTAATTTTTATTATATATATATATATATATATATATATATATATATATATATATATATATATATATATATACAGGTAATAAATCCGTTGGTATATAATCCAAGTGGATCCTAGTAATATAAAATATTAAAATTGATCCACAAAAAGAGCTCAATGTCAGAGCATATAAATAGTATTACACTGCAAAATCCCAAATTACCTCACATGGGGCTGGGATAAATCTATTTCAACCGATGAAAGCTATGTCAGTCGTATTCAACCTTGGGGGTTCAATAAGACTGACATAGTTTTTGTCAGTTGAAATAGATCTTTCATCCCACATATAAGGTAATTTTGGATTTTGCTCTGTAATATTATTATATATATATATATATTTTACATTACTAAATTTTTATTCTGCAATCTGGTGCCAGGATGTAAACAGCAAGTTTTTTAACTGCTACAAATTCCATAATGGATTCATGACAGAAAAAAGTTGTTGGTCCAATACATTCTTGAATATCAGAACAGATTGCCAAGATAAGATAGAGAAATATTCTTCCTCTTCCTGAAACTATTTTCATAAAATTCCCTGTCTTGGGGATGAGGATAAACTACATCCACGTCTTGGGTAAGATGGTAAACTATGTCCAACAGAAAATCTTATCAGGAGGTTTTGAAAAGCATGGAACCACCTCTTAATTGCTGGTGTTCGCAGATCCACCCTGTCCCGGGGTGGTAGCACCTGTGAGGGTCCCAACTTTGGGCAAATAGTTAATCCCCCAGACTGGGGTCAAAACACTATGAAAGTGTAAAAATAGGTTTTAATACCAGGAATACATGGTAAAAAATTATTACCAGTAATACATTTTGGAAAAAAAAATATTACCAGCAATACATTGTTGAAGGAAAATATTACCAGCAATAAAAATTGTCAACATTAAATAATCCACTGTGGTTGATATATTGTCAAACAAACCAAACCATAAAATTCCTATTTGTGTCAAGACAATTTGTGTTTGTAACAGAATGCATTGTTCTCCTTAAAGCTTCCACTACTATGTTGAAAACTGTTGCCATGATGGGACATACCTTGTCTTCAGTAAAACTGAGAGAAGTATGACACAGTAATATCCACATGAATGGTCGAACTTAGGATTTTTCCTACTCTTTCATTCATATCTCATACCACCTTTCTTATAACCATTTTAACAGTAACTGTCTATCTTGAATGACTGTCAAGCTTTAGTCCCAAGCAAAAAAACTGTTTCAGGTTTTCTTTTTTTTATCTGAAAGGAAACCATCCAGCATCTACTGCCATATTGTAAATTAGATATTACATAGTGGTCCAGCTCTTTTCTGATCCCTTAATACCTGGCTTACTTTCTGAAAAGCATCTTTCATTATTCTAATACACTGTTGTTACCTAGGAAAGGTTACTGAATAGAATAATCAAACGAAGGTTGGTAATAAACAATAATACTGAGGACAAGAACAACACATAAGATTTGCCAGCAGTGTGTAGAAGAAGTAGTCAACTGCTAGAAGTGAGTCAAGTGACTTCCATAACGAATCTTCAACTGCAGACCAGCATACAGTATTTACTATTATATTTATGTGAATGGGGACATACCCATTATTGTCTGTAGGTATGCTACAACATACACCTTTTAGTTTTCTGAGACACAAATTCCACTTAATGTTACTGTAACATCCAGATAAATTTCTGCACCTGTTTGATTTTTTTGTCCCCAATCTGTAATTCATGTTTTTAGTTGGCTCTTTTGCTGACAACCATACATTCACCTCATCTATTATTTCTGTATATTAACTAAATATCAATTTAAGAAGGCCAGACTTGTTTTGTATTTGTATACAACCAATGCAGTTGCTGAAAGCTTTGTTGATTAGGTTATTGTATTGTTTTTATTAGTAAAATTGTAGTATTTCATTTCTGAGGACAATGGCTGGTATCCTATCTCCACCGCTAGCCTTATATGTCTAATTTAGAGATGATGCCCAATACCATTGATGGGGTTAGTTGCAGCTTGCTCAATAGAGTCTCAGTTATAGGGGGTACACTGGCTGAGTGTTGAATTGGATGAGAATTTTCAAGCAAAGCATTCAGCTTTATGAGCTCAGACAGTTTGTTTCTTTATAGAATGGATATCACATGTAGCTCAAAGAGAAAACAAGATGTTGACATTTCACGCAACTTCAAACAGAAGTTTAGGAAGGAAACCTTCATCAGTACTGGAAAGAGCAATAACTGTGGACTTTGGAATCATGTGAAGCAATTTCACTATCATCATTATTATTACATTATCTGGTTAATGGTGGTTTTGATCAAAATATCAATATTGAATCGTCAGCTTTATCTCCCAAGAATTTAATTTCTTCTTAGCTGATCACTTCTTTTATGATGATAGTGTTGATAACTAAATTTGTCACCAACATGTAAGTTCAGGACTAGTAGATCCCAGTTTCACCCAAACCTGCTTTAGTCATTCATTCCTTATCACCATTTGGCCTTAAAAGATTTAGTTGCAGGTGAAGCAAAATCAGAGTGGAAAAAAAAGTGCTGATTTGTTTATAGTGAACCTCACCTTGACAGGAAGTGACCCACACATTTGATTCCATGACCTTCCTTTGCAGCATATATGGAATGAGACTTGCAGAATTCATTTATAAAACTGTATTGGACTGCCATTGACTCTATTATAATTTTGAGTGGCACCGTCTGTAGCATGTCTGTCATGCATAGACCTCTTCATTTACTGGTTCAACTATTGGGATCTGTTTTAACCATTACCTACTTGTTTTGCAGTTGGGATTTTTGGGGTTGGCTGTGCTTAGTTTGGGAGTAAACCTTCAAATTTTTTAATAGTCTTATTTTATTACTATCAGTGTTTCACTCCCCAACTGCACACACACACACTCCATACAGATTATCATATCTAAAAAAAATGCACCTTTCATTAGAATTTGGAAGAACAGCAATTATTTTCTTGATATTTAAATTTAGTATGGCACAGGGCCTTAAATTTTGGTATTTTTCTCTCACGTTCCTTTATAACTCCCTACTAGGTTGACCACTTGAAAACTGTACAGAATTTTTGCATTTGGTTCATTTGTGTACTTGTAAAATCTGAAATGATATAAAGTATTGACATATCTATTCCAGAATTGATGGGATGCTGATTGAAGGGGAAGTTAATGAATCAATAAATTCTCTCAAAAATCAATCACTCATTGATAAATTCTTTCCCTAACATTTATCGATACTGCAACCAGAGAATACACTATTGGCAAGGTTACCTGATATTTCTTTGAAATAACTTTTACTAATTGATAACCAACTATATTTAGTTGGACATGCCTTAAGTAACACTTAAGATTTTAATGCCATTACTGATAATGGATATAATAGCCATCTTGTTGTTGTTTCATGGTCAACTAATAAGGGAAGAAAGTTGAGGTCAAACATCATTGTGTACCAGTCACATAATTCTGATCAAGTTAACTGATGATAGAACGATGTTCAGGGTGAGTTAGTTTCATGACTTTTTAAATGTATAAATGTCTAACTAATATTATCAGACATGATTAAAAGTTTGGAAACTTGGTTTATTAAAATTAATTTAAGTCGCAAACTTTAAATATATGGGCTAATGGCTATATCCTGTTGAAACACCTGTTCTCATATGATCACTGAAGTTAAGCAATGTCAAGCCTTGTCAGTACCTAGATGGGTGACCACTTGGGAATACCAGTTGTTATAAACATAGATGAGCAGGTGGTGCAATGGATAATGGCTTGAAATTATAAATCAGATAAGTGAACATTTATTAATGCTATATCTTTTGATATCAATCACTGTAATTGCAAAGATTGCTTCCCTTAAAAATATTCTCTTCTATCTATGTGCTGTGTCCTTTCAGGAAGTAGCTGATCATGGCTTTTCACAACTTCCTGTTCTCTGTAGCTCTTGGCAGTTCTTGTCTTTTTGCTGTCAATCCCTGTTCTGCCAACCATTTACACGAGCTTGTTCAGCAGGTTACTCTCAGCTTTTCTCTTGCCTTCAGCATGTCCTTTGAGTGTTAAATTTTCTAAGCCGTATTTCCTCAATATGTGCCCTAGAAATTTCAATAGTCTCTTTCTGATTCTAAGTATAAGTGTCCTTTTTTTTTCCATATCTTCCAGAAATATCCTGATTGATTGTTAGTTTTTGGTGAAACACAATATTATATATATATATATATATATATAATGTGTATTTCAGCAGCAATAATTCTATCAAACATGTTTGGTTAAATAATATCAACAAGTTCAGTCTATAAAATTTTTTTGTAAAATTTTCAAAATTTGCAAATTAGTTGTTTTATGTTATCAGTAGTAAATTTCATATATTTTATTTTATGTTATTTTTTTCCAAGTACTTTAAAATGTTGCTACATTCATTTTCAAGGATTGTTCTGTTTATGTTTATGAAAATACTTTTTTTAATTATAACATTCTCACATTTGATGGAACCAATTTCAAGTCACTCAAACAGAAAATATATATATATATATATATATATATATATATATATATATAAAAAAAATTCTGTTTGACTGTTTAAATGATGTCACCTTGAGTGACTTGAACTTAGTTCCATAAAACATGGCATTGTAGTTACCGTCTAGGCCAATCCTAGGTCATTTGACTTACTTTGATATCTCTTACAGTGATCCCAGTACATATTGAAGTTACCACAGATCAACTCTTCTTGGATCAGGGCTGCTGATCAACATTAAATTCAATACTGACATTTAGAATTTCCTGGTGTGAATCACAAACTACAGATAAAATAAGTCAAATAATTCAAATAAATGAATATGATATAATAAAAATTTTGTTATACTGAGAATGTTGAACACTTTTGGAAAGGAATGAAATCACTTCTCCCTGTACTTTGTCCTGTCGCAAATTATCTTTAAAAATCTGTCATTACTGGCCTGCCATAATGCTTGACAGAGAAAAGAGTGAAGAATTGGACGAACTACTCTCCAATAAGTACCTTAACTGCAACAGTCTGTTATATGTTTGTAATATATGTATGTCTGTGCTTTTATATATATATATATATATATATATATATATATATATATATATATATATATATATAGACACACATACACACAAATAATAAATATACATTTTGTTCCTCACTGGTAGCACAACTCTGTGTTTCATGTATAATGTAATCATCATGTATGGATTGTTTTATTACCAGCAGCATTCAAAATATATATATATATATATATATATATATATATATATATATATATATATACACACACACATACATATATAGGCATCCATTGTCAAATTTTAACTCTTTTTTTATGTTCATATATTCTTTTCTTTAAATTTTTGGATTTTTCATGGAAATATTCTTTACATTCTATTTCGTAGACTCTTGTTTGTGCAAAGTTACCTTTTCAGTTTTATATTGATTAAATTTGGAATTGTTTTTGAAGTATTTGTGATAATTTTTGTATTAAGATTAGCTAAATTTCTTTCAATTTCATTAGTTATAAAGTTTGTAGGTAATATAATGTTGGTTTTATGTTGATACTTGCTTTTTGTTTTTGTGGATTTTGTGTTTTTTTTCTTTCTTTTGCATTGTATATGCAATAATTTGGATAGTAGAAGATTTATCCAGTAGATATTTGCTGCTGCAACTTCTAAATATAAAAAATAAAACAAAAAACTTATGATTATTCCTGATTTTATTCTATTTTTGTGACATGATTAAAATCTTATGAGGCTGGCTTGGAAAAGGATGAGTATAATTTACTCAGATTAAGATGCATTGGAAGGACCCCTACATATATATATACACACACACACACACACACACACAATATGTTAAAACGTGTTTCATTGAATAATATAGACATATTGTGTCTACCTATTTTTATACTGATCCTTTCCAGTTATCTCATCAGTTTTTTGATTCTAAGATGAAATTCATTAAGGAAGATATCATAGGTTTTTTTTTTAACCTAAATACTTTTAACCTTTTAAATCAGATCATCTCCAGGGGTAAATTACAAAAATAAACTTATTGACACTGCAGTAAAATCTGCATTCTGTTGTGATTTTTTAAAACCCACATGAAATGTGTTTGAAGGAAGATATACTGCTTAAATATGTTCACACTTACATACATACATACATATATATTATGAAATGGACAAAATACATTAATATCTGTTCGATAGATACACATCGAGCAGATATGAATGTATGAGAGAAAATCATGGAGAATTGTAGTTCAAAAACAGTAAAATTGACCTTGCTAACCAAAATGCTCCTCTATGGCTCAATTGGTAAAAGCACGTCAGGCTATATGACAGTTCTGTATATGATACAGGTTTGATTCCTGTCAGAGGACGCATATTTTCTATGAAAATTTCTCAGACATTCAGGCTGGTAAATGTTAATACCGTTTATTATAAACAGACCATTTACTTAAATATTTGTATCTATAAAAAGAATGTGTAAACATAAATAATGTCTCATATATATGTGTGTGTGTGTGTTTAAGTTAAGCTATATTTATAGGTGAAAGTGCTCATTATCAGGGACAGAGCATATGGAGCTATAAAAGTGGAAACTGAGGTTCACACTATGTGACAATAGTTTGTATCATGTTTGAAATAATTTTAAAAAACAAGGATCATAACATTCATCGAGTGATTCGTAGGTTAATGCATCTTTAAAATTCTGTTAGTGAAGTGTATTCGCCATTTTATATCATTAACTTTTTCTAATTTACTTTTTGTATGAATGATTCATTGTAATATAAATTGAACTGCACCACATATTGTTTATATATTGATAATATATAATCATGTTTTTACTTGTTCCTTTGTTAGCACATGTTATACACTATCATTATCTTGGATAAACAATGGAGCATTCCTGTTTGTTTACAAGGATAGATAGAAGAAAAGATGTATAAAAGGTACTCTTTGGTTTTAGAGAAAGGATAGAAAGGGAAGATAGAGGCAGTGATAATGTTGTCATACATTTAACATTTGCTTCAGTGAAATGTAAAATGTTTTCATTTGTACTCTCTTACTTCTTTAAGTAATATCCTACATTATTATTTATGATTGTGTTGTAGCTTACCTATGGACCATAATAGGTATGTCCCCATTCACATAAATATAGTAGCAAATACTGTATGTTGGTCTGCTGTTGGAGATTCATTGTGGAATTCACTTGACTCACTTCTAGCAGTTGACTACTTCTTCTCTGCGCCGCTGGCGAATCTTTTATGTGTTGTTCTTGTCCTAAGTATTATCATTCATTACCAACCTTCATGTGATTATTCTATTCCCAATCCTTCCCTAGGTTACAACAGATTGCCACTGCAATATTTTTCTTAACCTTTGAAAAAATAAGAATAGGGAATTTCCATAGGAATTTTATAGCTGTGGAACTTTTCAGTCATTAATTTATGAACTGATTCATCAGAAAATTTAGCTTATGGCTATATAATGTTGAAACACTGGTTTTGCATTCAATCACTGAAGTTAAGCAATGTGGTGCCTGGCTAGGTCCTAGATGGTTGATTGCCTGGAAATATCAGTTGCTGTATTATTTGATATGTAAGTAGTATAATGGACTAATGGCTTGGAATTGGAAATCAGGAGGCTGAATTCCAATTCCAGTCAGAATTGTTATATTCACTTATGTACAAATACCCTTGAAAAAGATATGAATCCACCTCTTCTCCTCCCAACTATGGGTTAATTATTAGGACTTGTTTCATTAAATTATTATTATCTCCCCCAAAAAACCTCTTCCACTCTAAAAGTATTTACTGGCTTTAAATAAACTACAAAAGGTTGATAAGTGATAAAAAACATATCAATCAATCAAAAAATTCAAGTATGAAATGCATAACTTTTTCATATGTATTTCCAGTTATTATAATAATATAGTAGAGTTATAGTTTTTAGATGTGTACATAAAATATGTTTGGGACAACTGATCTGTAAAAATGTTAAGTCTTTTGATCAACCTTAATCTGCTATGTGTCGTATTCCTTCAGTATCATGTCTCTCCACAATTTCTTGTACTTTGTAGCTGTCAATAATTTTTTTAAATCTTTACTTTTTCTGACATCCACTTATTTTGTGCACATTAGGTAGGTTACGCAGTGTTTTTCCTCTGTCCCTCTTGCCTTCAATTTGTCCTGTGAGTATCAAATTTTCCAAGCCCTCTTTCCTCATTATGCACCCTAGAAATTTCAAATTATCTTTACATGATGTTATGTAAGTGTTCTTTTTGTTTCCAATTTCTCTAAAACCTCATTGTTGTTCACGTGTTTGGTCCATGGTATTCTCAGCATCCTTCTGTAAAACCACAATAAATAATATACTGGCGTCAGAGAGTCTTTAGATATGTACATGAAATACAAAGTCAAGTCCGATTGCCTCCAACCTTGGTGTATGGGGTCACAGCCACGCCACACTAGGTGTTGTTACTGTGGTTTCTGTAGCAAGTAGGTTTTACAGAATGAAATTGCTTGCCTCATGCCCAACCAGTTTTGAATTCAGTTTTCATTCTCCTAAGTTAGTTGCTAACAAAGGTTGGAGTTCCCAGTTTGGGTAACTATTTAATCCATACCTGGGGTGAGAAAAATTGGATTCATAACTTCCCAAGGTTATTTATACAAAAGTGAATGTAACTAACTTGACCAGAATTCGAACTTGG